TTCTCCACTAATCCTCATGCTGTATTCTCTGGAACTCACAGAGACATCTCGTCCTCGTCCAAAGATGCTTCAACAGCCAGTAAACAACTTCTACCAGAGGACACGGCCCCAGCAGTGTACCAGATATGTGGATTGTATTATTAATTTGTAACAGTGGACTATGACTATATTTTCAAGTAATCATCAACTTTATTTGACTCATGGCGAAGTTCAACAATAGCGTCGCAGGAGTGTAAACGCTCCAGTGACCTTGAACGCGTGCTAGTCGTTGGCTAACGGCATCTGTCATTATCATAGCTAAAATATCAATGCTATTCACCAACTTAGGAGCAAATTTTACGCAGATCACGTTTTTAAGTACTGTTTGAACAATGTGTTAATACCCTGTTAGGGTTAGGGTTAAGGTAAGTATTAGGGTTAGGGTTGAGATCAGATTTATAATCACGATTAGGGTTAGGCCGGTTAGCATAAGGGTTGTAATTAGGGTTAGGATTAAGGTTAGGGTTATACTTAGGGATAGATTTACAGTTGATGTCATTTATTTTAATTTGTTTTCCTGGTAAGTAGTCGTCTATCCTCTTACTGGAAACCATAGTAATTCAGCCGAGGGCTTTTGGGGAAGACTGCACAACTGGATAAAAGTGATGAACGATTGACAAAAACAGCTCATCTTTATTTTTATTTACAGCTTGATTCTACACCGTATTTTCAGTCACCTTGGTAAATACATGTACAGAAACTAGTCTAACTTAACAACTGATACTCCTCAATATAACTGGGATGTATTTCTAAGTCATTTCAGAGAAAGATACCCTGTTCATTGTGTTTTCATGCATTTTCTCGTAAATATACGTTATTTTTGTGCAAAAGTCACTTATTTTTATGATTGGTCGGCTAAGGGTCACTTGTGAGTTCGCCTTCCTGGGACGCTATTGTTGAACTTTGACGATTCATCTGTATGTCCATAATATAGTGTCTAATTATCCTCTCATTAACTTGAATTTTTATTCCGATATTTTGTACATTTATCGAGCTCACTTTTAAATCTCCTACAAGGTTCACAAAATAATGAATATTCACACTGATAAACTTCAAAATTCATTAAGTTGGTTAAAATGTCACATGGAAACACCTTTAGCTTATTTAAACTGCTTTTCTTAAACTTCAGTAGTCTAAAAGTTCGTCAGACTGTATACCCATGACATTTTCAACTGATATTTAAAGTGATAAGCAGACCGGCGGGAGATTGGAAGTAGTACATTAAAATATACATTGAGTATAAGGTGTCGGAAATCGGTTCAAGATAGTGCATATTTTAAGTGGCAGACTCCGGGGTGTATCTCATGTTTTGGACGACCAGTTTGGTGTTGTGACTAATCTTTCGTTTAGGCAGGACAAGGAAAACAACTTGCATTTGCACGTAACCTACATTGTACAATCGTCAACATCTCTTTGCCTCCTGAATAGGGAAAACGTTTGGATAAGCTGGTTTTCATCTGAGACTTTCTAAGGATTTGACTCTATATTTGTTGTTATCTTCTAGCTATCAGTGATTCATCTTGCCAACGATTGACTTGAAAATTATCATTACAGTCCCTAAGATCAATGGTGGATCTAGGCATTTTTGTTCAATCTAATAGTCATTTAGACTTATCAGCCTCTTAATTAAGATAGTGGAAGGGATGATGTTTAAGCAAGCTTTCATTATAAAGTGTTTGTTAGATTAATGGAACCATTGGGTCATTCCAGTCATGCCGTAATAGCCCACATGAAAAGGATAGCCTAAACAGAGTAGTCAGTAGGCAGACTATGTCAGCCGCCAGCTCCTCAAGAAGCCATGGGTTCTGTTGACCTCTCTGAGTCTAGTTAGCTTAGAGACTGAAATCGGATATTTTAGTCGATTCCGGTGCAACCTTCCCCATCTTCGAGTGGCAAGGTTGGAGTTGTCGCTAACGTGGGTGATCACTCCTCTATGAAGACCATGACAAAGTGGTCTGCAACTGCTTCAGCTTTCTCTTGGCTCTCTTCTATTATATCTCAGTTATTAGTTAGACTGAAAAATTCATGGAACCTATTGTTTCTGAATTTGAAATAGGAAAATTATTTCTAGGGTTCTAAGTTGCATGAATTTTGAATTTCATCCTTGACTGGGGAATTCCTCGGTAGTTTTGTTTCAAGATGTGCTGCACGGTCCCTTGGCTTCCAGAGACTACCTCTTGTCCTGTCGTCCAAGTAGTCCGCGAGTCTCCACGGAGCTATTGTTTTGAACCCTTTTAAAGGCTCCTTGAGGTATAGCGTTTGGAAACCTGGGCATATGGTTAACCTAACTGACTCCGCGAAGCTCCCCCATGGTACCACAGAAATGGTAGAAGCTGTGTCCATTTTCATGTGCTACAGTTTCTTCCCTAAACTCTTCTTGTGGTAATTAGCTACTGGGTAACCACAGGCATGATCTATCTCCCCTTTTTGCCTTCACCGAATCAGGCCATTTCAGAGGACGTCGGAAGAGAGTTCAAAAACCGTAGGGTACAAATTTTGCACCGCGTGATTGATTTACAGAAGTGGTGGTGTTTACTTCCTCAATAGACTTGTTCAATAAGGGGTCGGAAAGGTATGTATACTGTATTGGAAACAATTAACAGGCCCGGAGAATTCCACTAACGACCTATTAAACACATTGCTGTATACCGCAGTCCTATCTGCAGTTTAGATTACTCCCTAACCCTAATCCAAAATGTCATTCAGCTCACTTGTTGACTCATGCCACTCTTCTTCAGTCCTGGCCCTAGTGTCCACACATAGTGAGAATGTAGATCTCATAAAAAATCTTCCCTCTTTAGGAAGAAGTGATCATGCTGTGCTCACTTGCAAGTTCACAGCAGCATGGGCCAAAACCCCAGCTCGACAAGACGTTTCGAAAGCTGACATAAAGGCAAGCTTCTCAGCAGCCAACTCAGTGAACTGGTACATCAACCTACAGTCCCAAGTAGAAGCTGCATGGAAACTATTTAAACAACTTTACGCCCAAGTAACTGAACCTCTCATCCCTTGGTCGGTCCTGAAGGGTCAGAAACATTGCCTCCACCGAGTAAACCGAGAGATCCGTAAATTACTCAGACGTAAGCAAAAATATTGGAACCTGTTTGCCACACTCGAGACTGCTGAGGACAGAAAATTATACAACACCGCTAGGAACAGAGCTATTGCAGAAATCCGCTAATCAAGGATGAAGTTTGAAGCACATCTGGCTCAAAATGCAAAAGCGCAAGCTAACAAAATTTTCTCGTACATGAACTTGAGGAATAAAACATTCGATGGTGTGCCAAACCTGACTATTGACAATGAAACAGTCGAAGATCAAGCAAAAGCAGAAGCGATTGTAGACTACTTCTCCCAAGTCTTAACACGGGAGTCCTTACTTCTCATAGGATCAGCTCTGGCTGCATCAGAGGAACATGGGATAGATTCCGTTGACGTCAACCAAGATATCATTCTCAGATTCAGAGAAATCAACGGGTCCTGATAATCTTCATCCAAGGCTTCTGAAGGAGCTACCAGCTCACATAGCCGGCGCATTAACCACAATCTTCAAGCTATCTCCCCTAAATGGAGTGTTACTGTGTGACTGGAAAGACGCCATAGTAACCCCCATCCAAAAGGAGGACCAAGACAAGGCCCTTCAAACTACAGGCGTATTAGCCTCACCAGCACTTTAATCAAGACACTGGGAAGAATCATCAAGAAAAGCATCATGGCATATCTGGAAGTCTACAGTTTGTTTATGCATAGCATAGCATAACTTCCGAGGAAACATCTTATGCTTGTCAAATCAAGGGAAAACAGAAGACCTGTTGACGTCGCCTTCATATACTACTTCGATAAAATTCCTCACAAGAGACTACTCATGAAGTTAGGAAGTTTCGGTACCTAAGGCAGCTTACTAAACTGGATTAGGGAATTCCTATTAAGTAGGAGGCCGAGGGTTAGGATAAACTGAAAACTCTCCTCCTGGACAACAGCATATCAGTGGGTTATCTCTGCTCGCCAATTTCCCTGTGATCCTATATGCAGACGACTTAAAAATGTGGAAAGAGCTGAAGAGCAACAGGGATACACTTACGTTGCAAGGGGACCTCAACAAATCATTAGATTGGTTTATAGAATGGGTGCTCCCAATCAAAGTAGCGAGACGTGCGACCATGCACGTTGGACGCACAAGTATCAGTCCCTACGAACTAGAGAGAATTACTCTCCCATCAGTCCAGATTCAACTGGATTTAGGTGTCATAGTAAGTCACGATTTAAAAACTACAGCACACTGTCACGTGGTGACGGCACGTAGTTTCACATTCTTATGGGCAATTTGCAGAGCCTTTACTAGAATCACCAGAGATATGTTCACCTCCTAAAATACATCTCTGGTGATATCAAGACTGGAAAAATGTATCCAGGCAGCCAGTCCTTGTCTCAAAGGGGATCCACATGTTCTAGAAAGGGCTCAGAGGAAGGCAACAGTGTGCGTCGGTGGCAAAGTGGTTAGGACTCTCGCCGACCATGCATATGGTCCAGGGTTCGATCCTCTACCGACGCACACCTGATATCTATGGTCAGCCTGCTACCGATATCACATGCTGAAAATTCCATACCTGTATCAAAAAATACGGTGTGAAATTAAGCAATAATAAAAAAAAACACATGAACGATTCGTGGCATGACTAATATAACATACGAAGAAAGACTAGATAGTTTAAACCTCTTGTCCTAATCATACCTTAGGCAGAGAGGAGATTTAATTACAATGTTTGAACTTTTACATAATGATTGCGGAACTGATCTGTTCCCACATCAGGTCGGAACACCTTAAAGGAGATATCAGGTGAGTTCAAAAGCAAGGAAAATCATATTGCTGTTGAGTACTGGTTCTCACACCGAGTCATAAATTCCTGGAACTGACTGTCCGAAGAAGTGGTGTCTGCAACCTCAACCAATAAATCTGAAACCTGAAATGACCTTGCGCGTCATTCGAATTGTAACGTGTTTTTCGTTCTTTTCAAGTCTACATAACCTAAGTTAGTTGTAACTGTTATTATTAGTTTTGTCTCTATCATTTTCAACCATAATGGACTACCATCCGGTGGAAGCATCAACTCCATTCACAGTAGCAACATAGTGTTAACATACCACTTACTACAAACTACATATAATTAATACTAACACCACTCCTTCTGGAGTCAACCAAAACTACGGCAATCAAGTTGCGGAACAAACTGCATAAAAGATTACCGGAAACAAGGAACCCTAACCTCACAACCAAGAAGCGAATACAAAGAAATCAAAATGATTTACAATAGCTTGTAAAAGCTATATTGGATATTGAAAGTTATTTCAAACTAACATACAGTCAGGATTTTTGGAGACCTCAGTGGGATTGCCGAAAGAAGCATAATTAGAAGACCAGAGGTAAAGTCGAAAAACTTAATGTAACAATACTGTGGTACTTTTATATATATTTTACTGCCCCAGCACTCGAAATGCCTTTATAAGAACTTAATTCGGCATATTGACTATTCATTTGTAAATGTATGTTGAAATCGGTCTTTACTTAAACTTGAACCGAACTCCTTTTCAAAATGTTCTATGGTAACATTAATAGGAGGTCACAGCTAAAGGAAAGGTTACATATGTAGCAATCCCGTGTATCAACGAATTCGCCAGTCTTAATGTCGTTTTTCTATGATTTGTTTTAGGTCGTTTATGGGGCACTTAGTGACGGCTTATTATTTTTTATTTATTTTATTCCTTTTACGTTCCCAGTGGAACACAGGGCTTCAAGCTAGAGCTTTGAAGTTTCGGAAGCAGTGGTATTTATTTTTACGGGATGCGGTTGCTAGCCTCATACCCAACCTCCACTCTTTATCAGTCTTATTACTGGTTTAGTGAGGTAAAGGAGTGCGTCGTTCGGGGATCGAACACCTAACCGCCTGCGTGGTTGGCCAGCTTTCTACCTCTGTGCTGCCGACGCACGCACTAGTTTCTATTATAGTTTAACTTTGCCAACACTTGTAACGATCAAGCTTGTTCAACATTATGGTACTACAACATCTTCTGAAATACCAGTACAGAAAGATTCGTCTCACCATTGTCACCCCTTGTTTTGCGGTGGAATGAATTTCACATTGAGCAAGTCAGTCTTATGCTCCGGTTGGAGGCAGTGACACCATTCCACTTACAACTCGAGTGCGATGTGATGGACTCAAACGCAAGGGATAAACAAGAATAAAAGGAAACAAATGTAAGAAGCAGGAGCTTATACTCTCTCAAAGCAATATAGCTGATTGTGTAAGGCGTGAGTACATGCTTTCTGTGACACAGTGACCCCATCGCAGTTTTCCCAGTTTATATTGAACAATCTGTGTTCGTCGTTTTGATATTTTTGTCCAGCATCTTGCACAAAGCCTTCTGTACCAATCGGACATCGAAATAAACTCAGAAGTGTACAGGTTATTGATTTTCCATGCTCTGGAATGAGACATAAAATCCGCTTACTAGCTTTGTATAGAGATTAATTTTGCTTTTCTCCTTTAAAATACGAGGATTAGAATTCGGGAATAGTGTTATGAAGCAGTTAAGGCTGAATGAATGGTTACTTATTATTGATTCATAGCGCATTTAACGAAAATCTATGACTAAAGTGAAGCGGGCTTCTTCATTGGATGAATTATGTAAGTCTTTGTTCCACCATGAGTCTGGCTGGCTGCCTGGCTGGATTCAACATAGAACTTGGCACCGAAGTGCAGCAGTTCCAGGTGCCACGTTCCAAAGAGCACACAAAGGTAGACAAGAAAATGAGTGAAGAGAATCAATAGACTTTTGACAAGTATAAGAGTGAAACAGAATGAGTAATGGTAGAAAGGAATATGAAAGATTACAGAGACTGAATACTTCTGCGTAAGCCATTGACAACGATTTTGAGCCATGTCACCTATTGTCTGTCTCCAGCCATTGATTCTTAGAGTCCCGAGGGCCCCAACCCGGAAGTCTGCGTCTTCCTACCTGACTCAGTTTAACTGTCAAGGATTTCATAGATTGATGCCATGTTTTTGTTTGGCCACCACTTACTCCTTTCCAACCTGCACCTATATCAGCCAGTAATGCCCGTCGGGGGAGGCGATGGTTAGGCATGTGCAGCACGTGACCTAGCCATCTCAATCTGTGTAACTTTATAGCCTCTTCAATTGATTTTCCCTCTTTGCCCAACACTCCACGCCTAACGTCAACATTACTTACCTTATTATACCACCTGACGTGAGACAGATATCGTAAACATCTGTGGTCAAAAACAGACAACCTTTATATGTCCTCAACTCGTATTGGCCATGTTTCAGAGCCATAGAGAAAGATGGAGCAAACTGCTGAGCAGTACACACGTCCGTTGGTTGATGTCACGGATGTCACGTCTACGCCAGAGATGTTGTAAGTTAGCGAAAGCAGCCCGAGCTTTTTGGATCCGTGCTGAGACTTCGTCACCAATCAATCCGTTGGTGCTGATACAACTTCCCAAATAGGTGAAGTGGTCAACATGTTCTATCACTAAGCTAGGAGTTGACGTAGTCCAGTCCTGTAGCAGCATCTTACATTCTATAGGGGCGAATCGCATGCCAAACATACGAAGATTGCTGCTCAAGGTGTTCAGAAGACTCTGCATGACTCTCCACCATGAGTCACACTCCCATTATCTTAACTGAATTCACTGATGAGATTTATATTGATCGCTAAACGGTTATAAATACAAGATCAATTCATCAGTTTGTTAATTCAACTATTTTTTGTAGATCCTCTGCTCCTCCAGTAAAATTATTGGTCTGACTTAATAAAATAAATATGGTTCTTGTGTAAGACTCACCTACTTTTGTCACTGTGATTTCAATTGACTTATTGTCACCATTTTTGTTTGTTTTAGTCTTTACCTTGTGTCATTCACCAAAAATGGATGTACATTGTATCACTCAATTGATCGGAGAGTTTCAATTAACCTCAGATAAACAGAATGCTGATGTAGGCGATTACCTTTTGGGTGATGAATTCCCTAAGTCATGGAACATAGACAAATTGAGTCTGCCTCCGAAATCAATACCCTTACTTAAATACAAACTGATAGATGAAGAAGAAGAGGAAAGCGTTTCACTTTCAACAAGTCACATTTACGCGAATGGTCCTCTTTCAAGAAGTCACACACTGCCTGCACAATTTAAATCTCTCAAATGTTTAACAAAAGGAAATTCAAAAACTGTTTATGAGTGAGGTTTTGTTTTGTTTCGATGTATTATCTTGTAACATTTCATTTTCGTTTTACTTGTTTAAATATGAAATATTTTTAATTTTTGTCAATGCAGCTGTCTTGTGTGAATAGGCTAAACTAATGAAAAGTGTAGAACTGTAGCCCGACAGTTATTTGCACACCTGCGCACTAATAAACCAGGCTGTGAACTGATAACCCCTACCTGATGGCTTCTCTAGGCAAGGAAGGGGATTTCAAGCATATGATATATTAGTTTCTAATTGAATATCTCACACAGTAATACATCTGAAACTGGAGCATCTGTATGCAGCATACGCACTCACTGTTGTAACTAAAGAACAGTCACTGGAAGCTTGCATTCCATAAGTCGCGACGGTCTGTCTGTCTGTTTTCAACAAAACTTTGCACCAATGTGCAGCAGTTCAAGTTGCCACACTCCCTCCATGTAGCACACAAAGCAAGAGAAGAAAGTAGAAGAAATGCATTCTAGAAACAGTAGACAGGGATATGAGACAAAAGGAATAGTAATAACGAAGAACAATGTAGTTTCATTGGGTATTATAAGTCACAAGGAGTGGATACATCTGCGCTATCCATTGAGAACGATTTTGAGCCATATCACCGATTGTCTCCAGCCATTGGTTTTTACCGTTCCGAAGACCCCAACTGGTCAGGAAGTCTACAGCTCCCTACGTGGCTTAGACTAACTGTTGTGAATTTCATTGACTTATGAGGCCATGTTTTGGTTTGACCGCCGTTAGCTCTTTTCCAGCCTGACCCTATGTCAGTCAACTAACATTTCCCGTCGAGGAAGGCGATGGCTAGGCATGCGTAACACATGTGAGTCTATTTAGCTTCACAGCCTCGTCGATTGATTTCCCCTCCTTACCTAGCGCTCGACGCCTATATTGCTCACCCTATTATACCACTTAACACGAGGGACAGAACTCAGACACCTATGATCAAAGACAGCTGGCTAACCAGGCTTTTCATGTCTTCCACTCTCAAAGGCCAGGTCTCACAGCCATAAAGGAGGACGGAGCGGACTGCCGAGCAGTACACCCACCCTTTGGTCGATAGCCGGATATCACGTAAACTGGCATATGCGAAACTAGCTTTCTGTATCCGTGATGAGATTTCGTCAGCGACACTGTGTTATGGGTTACCATTGTTAATCACCAAACATTGGCATAAATATGATTCTACTTGTAAGTCATCTGTTCAGTTCCTATGTGTTTACTTAGTATTCAACAATAGCGTTATCACAGACACTGTCTAGTGGAATTGCTATTGGAGTAATTTCATTGCTAAAGAATTTCATTGGTTGTTCATCACTGACAAAATTACTATTATTATTGGCTCGTTTAGTTCCTAGAGGAGCACAGGACTTCAGCCACACATCTTCATTGCGTCCGGTTCTCTGCCAACGTTTTCACCTGGCTCCACGTCTGCTCACATGCTTTCATCTCCTCTTCACATGACCTCCTCCATTCCATGTCACCCTGGCAATGACGACCAACTCGCCGCTTCCTATTCGCGTTCCACTCGAGCCATGGCCTGGCGTGTGATGTCACTCACTTGATGATTTGTTTTCTCAGAGTATGACCTCCTATCCACCTCCATTTCTTCCTGCATATTTGTTGCACAAGTGGTTCCTGTTGGGTTGGTTAGTTCATCGCCTAAGATCCTACTCTGTTGCTGATCTTTTCTGGCTGGCCGTCTAATCCTGAGTAGTACTGAGCGAAGACAGATGCTGATGGTGGTGTGAAGTTTGTTCTAAGTGGCCTTCGTGACGCGACGCCAAGTCTCTGATCCGTATATTAGCACTGACTTCACATTGGAGTTCAAAATCCGGATCTTATTTTTCATGCTGAGTGTTGTTGATCTCAAAATGAGGGATGTATATGTATATAGCCACATAAATAGCGTTATTTGAATTTCTGTTATATTCCTTCTGTTTTACCTGATTTCTGACAATCACTTCTCCTTATAGCATCCATTTTTGTTTATTTAATTTTTACAGAGCAACTTTAAGAGTTACAACTGAAGGTGGATTCAATTTTTCACCTGGCGACAGTATCTCCATATTTCCAGAAAACGATCCATACACTGTATCATGGTTGTTAAACCGCCTAGATCTAGACAGTTTGAAGAACGCGGATACACCCTTTATCGTAGAAGCCGTGGATACAAAAGCACGAAATCTCCCGTCTTGGTTAATTTCTGGTCATTCAACTTCATTGCGGTTTTTATTGACATATTGCTGTGAATTGTACATACCAATAAGTCGTCGGATTTTGAGAATTTTGGCAGAGTACTGTGTTGATGATGAAACTAATTCTGTTAGTTTTGACAGACAACGAAACCGACTGTTAGAGTTTGCAAGTCAAGAGGGAAAGAATATGTTTGAAATGTAAGTTCTCTGTGTTTATAGTTATTCAGTTGAATTAAAGAATTTAAGTAGGACCGTTTGAATAATCCGTGAATCAAAGATATTGTTCCGTTAAATATGACAAGTCGAAAGATCAGTGAAATTGAAACCCAGAGTAAAAAATTACCTGCAATGAGACTCCGACAGCCATAATTTCCCAAACTATTAGGGTTCTAATGGGAAGTCATGGTGAAGCAGATTAGGTGTGAGGACAAATACTCACCGAAGACATTGGCTAGCGGTTGCGCTACGTCATAAATTGAAAGAAGTTGGAATTCATACGCTGGCCATTGCATCTGGTCCCAGTGGTTTGATGGTCTACGATCTCATTCGCCTTGTAACCAGAAGGTCCTGGGTTCGAACCCCTGTGGTGGGTGCGTGCTGCCGAGAAGTCTCAAACCAGGACGAAGCAGATGTCCAGTACTCCTAGGTCTTGCAGTGGTTATCTAACCAATGTCAGCTCATGTTGAAATCCTGTAACCAATCAATCAAATCCCTATAAACCAATACTTGAATATTGGGAATATTGTTAACTGCCTTTGTCTTAAGAAGTGTTTGAGTCCCACTTCACCCATCAAATGGGTACCATCGTCAGCCCGCTTGCCCCCCCCCACACAGTATATGTGCCCCATCAGCTGGTACTGAAGAAATCTCTTTCGAGTAACTGAATTCTAGCTAACCATTCGCTTAATTGAGTCCACCTGGTTAGTATGGTGAACCTACACAATTCACCTGACGGGTGTCAGAAGATTCTTCAATTAGTTTTCGTAGATTTACTAAGGTGGAGATCTGGGAGGGGGGTGATATAAAAAGTCATAGTGTAACGACAGAAGACAAGGGCCAGGCAACAGATCGTTTATTCAGAAAATCAAGAGGTATTTAAAGATTTTTATGTGCATTATTATCAGCGTTATTGTTAGCAGAGAATCGATGCCTTCTGATAGGTTGTTTTCTTGCTCAAGGTTATTCTGTCATCTCTTTGTTACCGCTTCTTAAAATGTCAGGCCATATATCTGCGAATCGTATTTGCACACGTCAAATTTTCTGTGATTGGTTGTTTAGTTCCACAAGGTTAAGCTTTGTTATTGTTTGCTTTTCTCATGACCCCGATTCGGGACGTAAACATTGACGTAAATTGGTGTCTACCAATTTTGGCTAGCAGACAGCTCTCACCGTATATCTACATTTCACACCTTCTTTTCTACAGTCTTCCTTAATTAGCTTAACGATTGCCCATTTGCGCTTATTTCCTCTTCATTGAATCTGTTTAGTGTCCTCCATAGGACGCTGAAGTCTTCATTACCAACTCGACGGCCTGTCGCGTGATACCACCCAACGGCCTTCTTAGCTTGTATCTATTTCCATAGGCATATTTAAAAGGCAGTAGTTTGTTGGTTGATAAGCTGCAAGAGTTCCTTGGTGTTTACTTTTTTCAGGTCAGTCATCTCATCTTCATTATGGAGTGAAGGCAACTGTTATAATAATGGTTACTCAACAAAGAAGATTCTTTTCGATAACCTGCTCTTCATCACGTTCTACAGTTATATATACAGCAGTGAATAGTGAATGAATGAATTAGTGTTAATAAAAACATTAATGTTGTTTAAATAACATCGAATCAATAATTGCAATATCAACAGATTACAGGTCAATAGCATCAACATAACAATACACTGAATATCAGAGAAATTAGGAAAGATATTAGTAATACAAATTCATGAATGTATAGTCTCCACCGAAAGCCGGTCACGGCAGTAGAAGTTTCTGGTTGGCCTTGCTTTTTCGGAACACAAAGTTTTCTGTGATTAGTTGTTGAGTTCCTCAAGGTTAAGCTTTGTTATTGTTTTTTCTCATGACGCTAATTTGGGATGTAAACATTGACGTAAATTTTTGTCTACAATGTTTGTCTTGCGGACAGGTCTCACCACAATGGTAATGATGGAATGACTGGGATTGCGTAATTCACCGGGCTTGATATTGACGCAGCCTTATAGTTTCTGCTTTCGACGTTCTAATTATGCCTTTATAGGATGATAGTATAAAAAGTATATAATAGTAAAATATCCGCTCATATTTCCTTCCATATTAGTTTGTTTATTAGATATATCATACAGTCAGCGAAACTGTATTATTATTTACTGGATGACAAAGTTCTGAACAAAATTTATTGCTGTTCATAATCATTTTATCAATTGTAATCACACAACTTCGATACGTGAGTTTTATAGTTTTCTTTGTTCTCTCCTATTTGTCGTCGTTGGGGTAGTAGAAGTTTCCAAATGTCTAGATGGACAGGTATTGAATCATTCCTATTACACGTATTCTCTTCAGTTGATTCGATAAACAAAGCTTCTCTTACCAATCTCTCCCTCCACCGTGTTACATTAGATTTTGAAACTGTCATCCTATCCCATCCTATTGTATGGTTGTGTGTAATTGCATGTAATGAGTGCCATAGCTGAACTATTCTCTAGATTTCTTATCTTATTATTCGGGTCAACTAATCTAGATTTTGCTAGGTGGAGGCCATTCAATTCACTCATGAATTGGAAAGTCAGGAAGAGGAACTTCCAATGTTAGCTTTTAACATAAAAAGTGAAGAAGATGGGAAGTTAAACACTAGTGTGTTTACAGGAAACCCACACATTCAAACAGATATTTGCACTTCCGATCATCCCATTCTATGTCAGTGAAAATACGATTGTTGAAATGTTTAAATAATAGAGCACAAAAACTAAGTAGTACGAAGGAAAATCTAAGACAGGAAGTGAGGCATATAAGAGAAGCTTTAAAACTTAATAATTACCCTGAAAAAATTAGTCAGAAAGTATGTAAGGAAATTTAAAAATAAAATAAATAATGATAGTAGTGACAGTGATAATAATAATAACAATAATAATAGTAATATTAATGACGACATGTATGACAAGCATGCGCAAGATAATGACAACATCAACAATGAGGAATCTAAATCATCAGTAGTAATACCATACAAATAAAGGACCTCGGAAACCTCATGGTGGGAAATTCTTAACAAGACAGGAACAAAGGTGGCATTCAAACCACCCACAAACTCAATTAGAAACAAGCTTTGTCGGTTAAAGGATCAGTCCTGTGGAGCCTTTGAAACAAAACAATTTAGTTAATCTAATACCCTGCTGGAATGATTGTCAGGTCAAGCACATAGGTCAAAGTAGTAGAACAGGTGCAGTCACTCAGACTAGCCGAGCATAAAAACCTACCAGCAAAATTTAGATTAGTTGACCCGAATAATAAGATAAGAAATCTGAAGAATAGTTCAGCTATAACACTCACCACATGCAATTACACACAACCATAGAATAGGATGTGAGAAGATGACAGTTTCAAAATCTGATACAACTAACATGATGGAGGGAGAGATTGATAACAGAAGCTTTGTTCATCAAATCCACTGAAGAGAATACGCGTAACAGGAATGATTCAACATCTGTCCACCCAGATATCTAGGAAATTTTACTACCCCAAAGACGACAAATAAGAGAGAACAAAGGAAAGTATATAAAACTCAAGTTTGGAAGTCGTGTGATTATAATTGATGAGATGATTATGAAGAATGAAAAAAATCTTGTTTAAATCGTCGTCCAGTAAGTAATACTGTTTCAATGACTGTGTGATATATCTAATAAACAAACTAATATGGAATTACTTACTACCACAGTGCAGTGCCCAAGTTTTACACACATATATTCACATTTCCTTCGTTTTCATATTAATCTTTCTTTTCTATTCGCAGGTATATTGTAAAGCCACAACTTAATCTTATGGATATTCTCTACATGTTTCCAGCGTGCCGGCCACCATTTATTCGCCTATTAGAAATTCTACCACGCCTGCAACCGCGTTCCTATACACTGATTAATTTATATGATGATCAAGCATTATCCGACGACCAACAAGATTTAACGTTTATTTTCACCAGAGTAGACTTTGAGCATAATAGCAATAACAACAACGATTCTGCTGTAAGCAGATTACGTTACCCGCATCGACATCATGGCACGTGTAGTGGTTGGTTAGAAAGAAAGTGGCTCAGTGTTAACCGACCTATTGGTGGTGACCATGATCATCTTCACATGGAAGACACTTCCACACGCACAGATATACCGATTATCCACATATATTTACGTCAAAATTTAACACAATTTTATCTACCTGAAGAGGATGCCCAACAACCAGTTATTATGATTGGTGCTGGCAGTGGAATAGCACCGTTTATCAGCTTTATAAGACAACGTAAACGTGACTGCTGTAAGGTAAGGCATTGCTTTTTTTTGTCCAGTTGTTTTTGGTGTTTTTTGTTTTGTTTTGTATAATAATACATTATTTCTGAAGTCGGTTTGCTCATTTTAAACCTGACTGACAATTTGACAGTGTAATTAATACCTTTAATCATGAGGCAGGTATAAGTATAAAACTTGAGCACTGTGGGTGATAGAGTATAACTCCATTGTAGATGAGATTTTATTTTGATAAAGTGTCACACAGTGTTGTTATACAGGAATATTAACTGATGACTACGTTTCGAGCACATAATCATATCAAGGCACCACCACTTTCTTGCTTCATTTATATACATCTGTGGAATCGATTAGATATTGGAACAAAAATAAATATAGGATAATGTACATTCAGAAATAATAATATGAGTGTTATCAATCAAATACGATCAGATGGGAAATAAGACGAGTGTTTTTATAGTCAAAATAAACAAGTAACTTGTTGGAATGTTATGATGTACGTGAATTGAATTGAAGTAGAATACAATTGAAGATTATTTATTATCCTCCTCTGATTTGACTGACTGGTGGTAATAATATCTTCCATGCATATCTCTGGTATTTGCATTGAGTCATTTCTGTTGCATGTGTTGGGTGTAGATTCTATGAACCAGGCAAGATTCAGTAATCAATCTCTCTCTGTCTCCACCTCCGTATATTACTTCTTGGAGTTTTAATCCTTTGTCATCCTATTGTGTGATTGTGTGTTAATGCATGCAGTGCAATTGCTGACCTTTTTTCTAAATTACTTATCTTCTCGGGTGGGGTCAACCATTCTTACCTTAGCTAAATTCTTATGTTCCGACAATCTGATTGCCCCGATCTACTAGTTTGACCTATGTAGTTGACCTCACAGTCATTGCAATGGTATTTTGTAAATTATATTATTTTGTCTAGTTGGGTCCACCGGGTCTTTTAGCCTATATAGCTTGTTCCTGAGTGAGTGAGTTTGTAGGTTTGAATGCCACCATTCTAATTCCTGCTTTATTAAGAATCCTACCTAGGGAGGGTATCAGATGTCCCCTCATACGGTAAAACTACTGTAGATGCCTTATATTCTCTTTTATTTATGTTATCATTATTAGTTTCACCATTATTTTTATTTTGCTTTTGACATTTTTTGATATTCTTAATGAATTTTGTAGGATAATTAGTTATTTACCACCAACGCTTCTTCTTCGATCTGTTTCATTTCGTCATTTAGATCTTTTCTTGCACTACTTAGTGTTACTGCTCGGTTTGTTAGACACTTAACTAAGCCTGCCTTAACAGATACATAACAGATGAGATGAATTAAAGTCTACATGTATATTAGAATGCGTTGGTATTTTATAAACGCCAGTGTGTAGTCTACCTTCTTCCTTTCGTTTTATTTTACAATCTAACATCATAGCTAATTCTCCTTGTTTATTTTCTGATTCAAATGTGAATTTTATTCCCTCCACTAGTGAGTTTATAAGTGTCAAGAAGCTAGAGATATGTTCTGTTTTTAACATTGTGAAAGTGTCATCCTCATATCTCCACCATATTTTCCGAGTAGGATTGAATGCATTTCGAGCAATATTTTTCCAGCTGTCCATAAAGATATCTGCTACGATAGGGGATATTGGTGATCCCAACGCTACACCATCTGTTTGTTTATATATTTTGCCCTGGAACTTGAAGATATTAGATGTGAGGCATAACTGAATTCCTAAAATAATTTCCTCAATGTGCAGCTTTGTCCTATGAGTGAGTTCACGATTTGCAGTTAGTTCTATTTTAACTGCTTCTTAGGCCATATTGATTGGTATATTAGTGTAAAGACTAGTTATATCAAAATTAACCATTGTTTCATCATTCTCTAGTTGAATGTCATTTAGTTTATTTTTCATCTCATATGAGCTAAGTGTTTTGATAATTCATAAGTGGCGGTATTTCTGAAATCTATTGGTAGTATGGGGTAACTTGGCTTATGTATTTTAATATTACCATACATTCTACTAGCATTATTAGTTTTAGGCATTCAATTAAACCATTTAGACTCACCCAGTAACGGCTTCATTCTGCGTATTAAATCCACTGTAGATTTTTTAACCTTATTCATTATTGTATTTACAGGCTTCCTAATTTCTTCATATGGACCCGTCTCAATATGTTCAGTGACTTTCTTGATATGGTCAGATTTATTCAAAACTACGGTGGCGTTTCACATTTGTCAGCTTTTGCAATGACAATGTTTTTATCCTGTTTTAGACTAATTAGAGCTAGTCTTTCCGATGTTGTTAAGCTTGATTTTGCCTTCTTTTGATTTTTCAGGGTTAATGCACAGAGTGCTAGAACCTCTTCTGCTGTATTAGCAGGTATTAGATAAACATGTGTTTCCTATCACATTGGTATATCTATCCACTATTTACAGCATTCTCTCTGTGCTTTAAAGACCACATCTCTGTCGTCTTTGAACACAGAGAAGACGGAGGTGGTTAAGATATTCAACAAACGACAACAAGCAGCAATAAGCATCTTCTGGAGAAATCTAAACGAAGGTACCTCTCTCACTTACCTGATCTAGACAGTACCGTTTCAACTACAGGCGGCACAGATGAGGATGTTAAAGCAAGCGAGGATCGGAAAAGCCAGATGAACCTTCATCACTCTGAAATCTGTATGGAAATCGACTGCATTCGACATAAGGAACAAAATCAGAATTTTGTATTGTGACTGCTCCTGTGGAGTGAGCCAGTTAGTTGCATAGACCGTACAATTAGGCGTGTTTCTCATCGGATTTGCGAACATCACCCACTGCATAGTGGTTAAGTAAAGAAAGGACAAACAAAATCTATTCACATAGCGCTATTCTATCTCATCTTGTGGATACAGAACACAAGATTGATGTCAGCGAGGCTTTCAAAGTCATTTACCGCATACCAACAAATCTTAACTTCGCTTTAAGAGTTAGATTACCAAATATTGCTGAGGCTGTTGGAATTCACACTAAGAAGTCTAATTTATGTGTCCAAAAGAAACTAGTTCAGACATTATCCTTACCCTGGCCATCTAGGTTCGATTGATCCTCAATTTTTGTAGAAATCTCCTTAATTTTAGTTTATATTCCGTTTGCTACTATATCTTTATTATTATTGTTATTACTATTATAATTTAAGCATCTTTAATGAACTGTAATTGTGTGTGTTACGTATGCATGCGTAGCTATCGCGTTCTTCGACGAGCAATGCTACCTAACATAGAGTCAGGTTGGAAAAGAGCTGATAGTGGTGGTCAAACTAAAACATCGCTTCGTCACTCAGTAAATTCCGAAACAGTTAGTTTAAGCAAGTCGCGTTGGGAGATGTAGACTTTCTGACTGGTTGGGGTCCTGGGGATGACTAGAGACAATTACTGATATGGCTCAAAAATTGTTCTCACTGGCTATCGTAGATGCATTCACTCTTTGTGATTTATCATATCCAATAAAACTCTACTTTTCTTCCATATTGCTATTCATTTTGCCTCATATTTATGTTTATTGTCTCTCTCCCTTTCTTTTGAATCTCTCTTTACTCTCTTCTCTTGCTTTGTGTGCTACATAGAGAGTGAAAACTAGAACTGCTGCATGTCTGTGTAATGTCCTATGTTGAAGTCAGTCAGTCAGTTAGCCATCAAAATAAAAAGGCAAAGTTTTGTGTACCTAAGAAAGCTGTTCAACCTCTCTGTCTCCCTTGATCCTAATTTGTTTAATTCTATTCAAACTTTGCCGTTGATTGATCGAACCGAAGTGCTCGACCTCAGGTTGACATGTCGGCTCCTTGTGCAGATGTCTCAACTATATCTGATTACTTAAATTCGAGTTAATTAGTGGGTGGTGACTAACAGATGCGCATTTCGTCCTGTTTGGGACTCGTCATCTGGATGTGCCTGCATTCCCCAGTCAGTGAGTGATTATGGTGTTCCCACTGAGGCTCGAACGCAGTACTCATAGTTTCAAAAGCCTGAGCGTTATCCGCGAGACGACTTGAGTCACGAGAGCCACCACCTCTAGTGCAGTGAGTGTCACTTATCATTTATTTTTAATTTAACATTTCGGTTCAATCAGTCGACAGGAAAATAAAAACTGAATTAAAAGCAAATAAAGGGATTGTTTATTTAATCCACTGGTTCGCTATAATCATCATCCTCAACGTCCCCTCATTTCTCGGCTTTACTGTCAGTTAAGTAAATCAGGGGAGGTTTAGTAGTGCGTCGTTGGTCGGGGAATTGAACCCGGCGCGTGTATTTCACTGAATTTTTTTATTGTAGAGTTACTGATAAATAACTAATTGAGAATGAAATATAGAATTTTTCTCTCAATTTACTGGTTTGTTTAAAAAAAATACCCATAAAGTTATATCTAAGAGAAAGCATTCATCGAAGAGTTACTCCTTTCAGTAATATCATATTCAGGCTGTGGAGTCGCGTACATATATATATATATAATGTTACTCGTCACACTTTAATGATTACGTTAATAGTATGAAATAAGTAGTCTTCTCAGACATCAGTGGCACAGCGGCTGGGACGCTCGTCGACCATGCACATGGTCTGGGGTTCGATCCCCGGCCACCGACGCACTGCTTTACCTCACTAAGCCAGTTATAAAACAAAAGCTAGTAAAGAGGAAAGGTTGGGGGCATGAGGCTAGCGACCCCATCCTGTAAAAAAAACCCACTGCTACAGAAACTTCAAGCTAAAGGCTTGAAGCCCTATGTTCCCCTGGGAACGTAAAGGAATAATAAAAAACACAAACTCGTCACACAAGAGGTGGCTCAAGTGGTCTAGTGGATAACACTTTGGCGTTTGAAGCTATGGGCACTGGGTTTGAGACTCAGTCGGAACACCATAATCAGTCACTGAGTGAGAAAGGCAGATACGTCCAGCTGGGGGATGAGTCCCAAACAGGACGAAATGCACATCATGGATCCCACTGCTAGTCACCATCCACCAGTTTACCTAATCTATTTATATTATTATTGCTATTATTATTATTATGAAGGTTGAGATGTCTTAAAAATTCCTCTTCTACTAATATATGTGTAAAACGTAGGCACTGTGTTAGTGAGTAATTCCATATTACTTTGTTTATTAGATGTATAACACAGTCAAAGAAACAGTATTATTTACTGGATGACAAAGTTTCGAACATAATTTACTGTTCATAATCATTTCATCAATTGTAATCACACGACTTCGAAACTTGAGTTTTATATAGTTTTCTTTTTCTTCTCCTATTTGTCGTCGTTGGGATAGTAGAATTTTCCAGATATCTGGGTGAACAGGTGTTGAATTGCTCCTATTGCACGCATTCACTCTCAGTTGATTCGATAAACAAAGCTTCTGTTATCAATCTCTCCCTGCACCCTGTGACATTAGATTTTGAAACTGTCATCTTATCCCATCCCATCCTATTGTACGGTTGTGTGTAATTGCATGTGGTGTGGTGCTATAGCTGAACTATTCTCTAGATTTCTTATCTTATTCGGATCAACTATTCTAGATTTTGCTAGGTTTTTATGCTTGGTTAGTCTGACTGCCCCTGTTCTACTAGTTTGACATATGTATTTGACCTGACAATCATTGCAGGCAGGGTATTAGATAAACTAAATTGTTTTGTTTTAAAGCCTTCACAGGATCCACCATTTGACCGACAAAGCTTGTTTGTAATTGAGTTTGTGGTAGGTTTGAATGCCAGCCACTTTTATTCCTGCATTGTTAATAATTGTGCTTAAGGTTTCCAAGGTTCCTTCCCTGTATGGAATTACTACTGATGATTTGGATTCCTTATTGTTGGTGTTGTCATTAACCTGTGCATGTTTGACATGCATTTCATCATTAGTATTGTTATTATTATCACTATCACTACCATAATTATTTATTTTACTTTCACATTTCCTAACATACTTTCTGATTAATTTATCAGGGTAATTATTAATTTTCAAGGCTTCTTTTATGTGTCTCACTTCCTGTCTTAGATTTCCCTTGGTACTACTTAGTTTTTGTGCTCTAATATTTAAACATCTCACCAATCCTATTCTCATTGACATAGGATGGGATGATTGGAAGGGCAAATATCTGTTTGAATGTGTGGGTTTCCTGTAAACACACTAGTGTGTTTAACTTCCCATCTTCTTTCCTCTTTACGTTGCAATCTAACATTGAAGGCTCCCCTTCCTGACTTTCCAATTCGTAAGTGAATTGAATTGCCTCTACCTTTGAGTTATAATGTGTTCGAAAAATGTATTCATATCCTGTGTTCTAAGTACAGTGAATGTGTCACTTACATACCTCCACCATACTTTTCGGGTGGGGCTGAACGTTTCAATCGTTATGTTTTCCCACCTATCTTCTACTTTCACACGATTTAATTTCTCCAAACTGTTTTATAATTATGATGAATGTAGCTGCAGTATAAGAATAAATTCTCTGGAAAGAGCCTCTCCACTAAATCGTATGTCTCCTCTTTCTATATATATATGTTTGTATAAAGTGGGATATTCCATGAATCAAATGGTATATGGTTTATTTTGTTTTACCAGAATAATATGAGCTCATTTCTTTTTTTTATTATTTCGAGGATTCTTCTCAACTGGTTACAACCTGAACGATAAAAAAATATGAATTACATTACATTAAACATTTGAACATACTTTTCCACGATCACAAGGAGTAAGTAATTGGTAGGAAGTGTAAAAGTAACATTAGTCCGGAATGATTTAACTAATTAAGAGTTACAAACACTGACTATTTATTAGAATAATTAGACAATTGGGCTTGGAGGCAAAAGTAGACTTGCCTATATATATGTGTGTATAGAAACAAGGTTTAGCTAGAAAGAGCATAACAAAAAAGTAGATTACGTAACTAAAGAAAATGTTTTATCTAATAGCCAATAGAAAAAAGAAAAGAACAAGGTAGGGTGAGTCATGTTTAGCTGAGGGAGTAGAGTTTTCTAAACAAGAAAATGGGTAACTCATAAAAGTTGTATATTTTTTTCTTATCACCAGGGCAGTGCAAGATTCACCACTGTCTCTTTTTGCGTACATAGATTTAGTTTAAGTCGTTTGATAGCAATTGCTTCAGCAAAGTGTAGCAAGCTAGGTTTCTTTTTGCTTGTTGATTATTTTGAACGACTGCAGGGTGTCTACAATATGACGCAATCGCACTGTTTAATGCTTGTGAACCTTTCAGTCTCAGGTTCTTTGGTATGTGTTCAGAAATGCGGACAATAACCCTTCTCTCTGTTCTTCTAATGTATATGCTTTGGCATGTACATGTAAATTGGTAGACACAGTTGGAGGTAACATGAGGTGGATGTTTTTCCACTTTTGATTGTCTCAAACAACTAGTTCTTTGATAAACACATACAAGCTTGGCGGCTGGATATGTTTTTTTTAAGGGCAGCGTTCAGTCTGCATCTTATTCTACTAGCAGTATCACCACCTTGTTTCTATACACACATATATATATATATACGCAACTCTGTTTTTGTATCCAAGCCTAATTGTCAGTGTTTGTAACTCTTAATTAGTTAAATCATTCCGGACTAATGTTACTTTTACTTCCTACCAATTACTTACTCCTTGTGATCGTGGAAAAGTATGTTCAAATGTTTAATGTAATGTAATTCATATTTTTTTTTATCGTTCAGGTTGTAACCAGTTGAAAAGAATCCTTGAAATAATAATAAAAGATGAGCTCATATTATCCTGGTACAATTGTTGTTCTTGCTTTGTTCAAGTTTATTAATGGGAAGAATTGCATGAAGTTATTTTCGTTTGTTTTATTTCTCTAGACGGGATCGTCAACCAATAACTTATGGTGGTTAATCTATGGATGTCGTTCTCCAACAACTAGTCTTCTCTTTAAAGAAGAATTATCAGATGCTGTCAATACTAAACTGTTAAAACATTTATGCCTTTGTTTCTCCAGAGATACTATCAATTCAGCAGATGACAAATATACTCTTGCCGACCTGCCATCAGTATTATGCGAACAAGCTTGTTTCCCCTTAAAATCACATTATGTTCAACAGTGTATCCACCATACTGACTCCGCTAGCAATACTAATCCATCTGACCATGATATTGAATTAATGCATCTTGTTTATGATCGTAACGCAAAGATAATGGTTTGTGGTGATGCACGTGGTTTAGCCACCGGGGTTTTCCAAGCTTGGATCAAGTTATTAGCTATGAAACTTCACTGGGTACAAACAAGTAATTGGTGTACATATACAGAGTTAACTAGTGAAGAATTGAAAAACGCTCAGATGTATCTGCAAGAAATGCGTAAATCTAAACGCTATCAAGAAGATGTTTGGTTGTGAAGATGTTATATATATAATTAATGCTGATGGTTACTTTGTTGCTCTGTACAAATGAAAGCATAGCTATTATTATTTTTTAAAGATTGTTTCAATCTGTGTATTTTTTTTTCAATTTTCTGATGTTGTGTATATTATTTTGATTGGACAGTAGTCAGTAACTAGTGTGATGTGTCTAGTCCTTGGGCATTGGTGGAGACTGAATTCTATCAGTCAGTCAGGTTGGCAATGTGGGCACCATACCACTAGGTAGCTCGCCATCACAGTGCACATTGATTTAATGATATTTGATAGTTGGAGGCGATCGGCCACAGGAAGCCTTGCCTGACCCAGGTTTCGTGCTAGTTGGCACTCACCAGTCAGCAAGGTGAATCTGCAACTGCCTTGAAGGAACTCATATCCCTTCGGAGATTCGAACCCTTATATATATATATATATATATATATATATATATTGCTTTACGTTGCTATAAAAAACTCATACAATTTTTTTCTCAGAAATTGCTTCACTTAATCATGGGATTAGCGTTTAAATGAAGTTGGGGAGCGATGAGTAGAAAGAGAAGGTAGAATTCATGAATTGATCATTAGATTTCGTCGTGGTGGTCAACTCGGTCGATTCGTAACTTGAAGGTTGTGGATTGGATTGGATCCTTACTAGTGTCATGAATGCCTACTGGTGAAGAGTCCCATACCAGAAGGAGGTGGGGGGAGGGTTATTCAATATCCATCAGTTTTCAGTGGTTCTCTAACTGAATTGAAAACATTTATTTCCCGATACGAATTTAAAACAAGCAACAAAGCAGGTTAATAAAGCAGGATTTAATGATGGATTCATCAGATTTCGGTAGAACTCGTCAGCTGCTCAGTACTCTACATACACGGATAAATATACTTTTGAAATTACAGTGGGAGATATAAGAATGATAAGTAAGCAAACTACATTGAATTAGTCATGCAGGAAGACAGGTGTGAATGTTTTCCAGGTCATGTTCAAATAGATAAGGGGAGAGGGAATATGAGAGTTTGAAATTAAGATAAAATGCATTACGCTTCCATTACATCACTTCGATAAACAAATAGTCATTAGAGAATATAAAAAGAATTGCAAACAAAGTAATATCAAACAGCAATAGTTATAATAACAATAATAATAGTGTTGAAGTGAGTTAAGATGGTGCTACTGATAAAGGATAGTTTTAAATGAATCAAGAATAATAATAAGAGGTAGAATAATAAGTAAAACGTATTGCCATGGTAGATTCAAAGTTCTCTAACTGGTGTCACTTTATGATGACACTTGAAAGAAAATAAGGCTGAGACTGCTGGATTTCTTAACCCCAATCCAAAACAATGGGTGTTAAGAAATTTTTCAATGAACCCTATTTGAATGTTCCCACTAACGACCTTTAACAGATGTGTTTAACGTAACGTGATAGGCATAAACATTAGACGAAAATAATCGAGGAGGAAGAGTCCTAGGGTATTTATGGTACGGGGATCAGTCGTGAGTGGCGATAAAGATCACCTGAAAAAGGTGTCTAGCCCAACACAGTCGCTATTCATATAAGGTCTTAGTGGGGTTTGGGTAGACAAGCAGGTTTCAGGTAAGCACTAGGAATTACGCTTCAAGGCAGTATATTATGCCTATGAAGGCTTAGTTTGAATTCATGCAGCCCAATGAGTTGCCAGGAGTAATGACCATTGGTGTTTGCCAACGATATAACTTAAATCGACTCCGATGTCTCAGGAATTAAGGTGGTTAGGACTCTCGCCGACCATGCACATGGTCCGGGGTTCGATCCCCTGCCGACGCACACCCGATATCTATGGTCGGCCTGCGAAATTTGGGCTACCGATATCCATGCTGAAAATACCATACTTGTACTGAAAATACGGTGTGGCATCAAGCTGTAATCAAAAATCAAAAATCAAAATCAAAAAAATAGCTGTCTGAACTACAATACGCAGACTGTATTAACGTGTTCGGCGTCTGTGGCACTGCGGTAGAATGGTCGTCAACCACGTATGTGGTCCGGGTTTCGATCCCCAGCCGACGCACTCCTTTACCTCACTGAGCCAGTAATGAGACTGGTTGGGCATGGAAGGTTGGGCATGAGGTTAACAACTCCATCCCGTAAAAATAGACACCACTGCTACCACCGAAACTTCAAGCCTGTATTTTGAAGACTTATGTTCCACTGAGAACGTACAGGAATAAAATATTGAAGGTCCTGAGTAAAAATTTGAGTATATTTTCCATGCCTCTTTAGCAAATTAATGCGGATTTCAAAAAACAATCACTGATCGACTCTAAGTTTAACGCTGGACAATGTATAAAGGTGATTAGGATGCATGTTACGCATGTCCATCCATCACTTCTTCGAAATTAAGTGTTGGTTGAATCCGGATTGAATTAGAAAGGAGTTTCCAGTGGTCAGACTTGGAGATTACACTGCCATAGCGACTTTCACCACTGATGTGAGCTAGATAGGGACATAAAGGATGCCCAGGTAGAGTCCTCTGGATCCCACTGACCAGCAGTTGAAGATTATTATTCTATTGGCATTACTATTCATTCCTTGCAGTGGAATAAAGAGGTTCAGCGACACGTTATGGCATTTTGTTCACTGACAACACTTTGAACTGGTTCCACAACTGCGCACTAGCTATCATTCCCTCTCCTCTATGTCACCCTTCGACACACGCTCAACGCTTTGCTATGTTTTGAAGTTCCACTCGATGGCCTGCTGTATGATGTTGCTCAACGGTCTCATTTGCATATTTCAATATAGAAAATATCCCCATTTAGACATTTGGAAAACACAAAAGATTGAGCGAAGAAATATTTACTTTTCAATTAGACCCTCATCTCACTCTGGCTCTACTCTAATATATATAGCATTTTTACAATACACAACAATTTACCAAACAAGTGGTGATATGTTTGTTAACAATAATTAGTCAGTGTCAAAATGTCAATGGGTAGATAATTAACGCAGAAAATCAATACACATTTAAAAAGTAGAAATGGATAGAATAAATTAATTTTACAAGAATAACACGTAATTTAAGATGAAGTGGTCAAAATAAAAATAAAATAATTCGGACAATTATAATTTAATAGGGGGAGGGGGGCGACGTAGTCCTGTCTTGTAAGGATGGCCACGGTAAGCAAAGTGGCTGTACAAATTTCTTCTGTACACATAGGCTTGGTTTCTTCTGGTGGATTCAAATTGCTTCTGCTGTCTGTAGAAGAAGAACTCTTAGAGCAAAGTTAAGATTAGTCGGAATGCGATAAATAATTTTGAATGCAGTATTCACATCAACCTTGTGCTCAGTATCAACAAGGTGTGCTAAAATAGAACTGCGAATAGATCTTGTTTGTCTCTTGCTTAACCACGCTGGATGATGTTCAGAAATACGACGATGAAACTGCCTAATTGTACGCCCAATGTAGCTACTTTTTAAATGTGTATTGATTTTCTGCGTTAATTATCTACCCATTGACATTTTGACACTGACTAATTATTGTTAACAAACATATCACCACTTGTTTGGTAAATTGTTGTGTATTGTAAAAATGCTATATATATTAGAGTAGAGCCAGAGTGAGATGAGGGTCTAATTGAAAAGTAAATATTTCTTCGCTGCTCAATCTTTTGTGATTTGCATATTTGTTGGATAATGGCTTGTTGACCAGTTCGCCTGCTGGCGGCGTTCCTTATTACATATTGTTCCTGGTTGGCTAACGGATTCTTAGTTTTAGTCACACAGGGTTGTTGTTGATACGAGTTTGTAGCCTGTGGGAAATGATTTTGATGGCACTGGCGTCAGGTCTGGGAAGCTTTGCCAATCTCATACATGGTGCGGACGTTCCATGTCCCCACACAGACTTTTTCTTTTGGCGCAAGGAGATTCATCGTGCTGAAATTTCTGTAGCAACTTTGTTTACAGGGTGGGGCTGTTAGCCTCACTCCTGAGAAGGGGATTGTTACATTAAAATATAGTTTATAGAGAAGCGACCTTGTGGGTTGCTCCTCTTAAAACCAGTAAAACAAGGAATAAAACAATCAGAACAACACCAGCAAAAGGAAAATAATTCACAACAGGAAGGGCAACAAGCGACAACAACAATAAGAAAAAAGTAAAATGTAAGCAGTAGTATCACAGTCAGATAAAGTTAACAAAAATGATACCAAAACCATAGACTCACTGACTTGAGCCAACTTAGACATGTAAATCCATCAATATATACAACTATAGATGTTAGTTAGTGTTAAACAAGCACAGAGTGGCAAATAGATAGTTATAGGTATTATCAATCAACAAGAGTATATCCACAGATTCAGTGTTTCAAAGTCAAATAATTGTAATAGTTTTTCGCAACTTTTTGATAAGATATTCCACAAAAATAAGAGTTTTATGTAGCTAAGTCAATGTAGCGTAGTAATCGAAAAGCGTCAGGTCTCTGAAACATACAGAATTAATGACCTGATTGACATTATTGTTGTTAAGCGAAATTCAGATCCTGTTCCGTATACTAAGTTCTGTAGATGTCCACACTGATTTCGAAGCACTCTATAGCCTCTGTTGCTTTCCCAGTCATGGAGCTGACATCTTTGTAAAGTTTACTAGCCTCCCCTTAGCTCTGGAAGGTGAGGGTGGTTGAGCGTGAAGCTAAGAATCTTACTCCATAAAAATACTACTGAAGCTTCAGAGGAACCCTTCATTCAAGGACAGTCGAAGTCGGTGGGTAAAATCTTTATGAAGCCAGTCGTCCCATAAGTTTGCTTTTGATGAAAATAAAAGCAAGCGTGGGCGAATAGAATATCAATACAGTATTTAAGGCTGCTCACAGTGTAGAAGAAACGAGAAGATGTGGTTTAAGATAGTTGCAGAAATTGCTCAACATCTTTCACAATGATGTAGATGTGTTCATTCTTTATTATTGAAATTACGAAAAATACACATTGGATCACAGGGAATTATTAAAAAGATGGTTGCAGCGAAGAAAGTTTTCTTTTCGACGAAGTCACTATCAACTAGGCTGTACATTCGCGTATTTATGATAAATGGGTGGGGAA